TGCCTATCTACAGAAAAAGCATTATTACTAGAAGTTTTAAGTAACTGAGTTGTTTACCTGACAGTTATCAGTACAGTCACAGCAAGCCAGGAAGCCTGGGTCTGTTACGATGCTGACACCCTCGGATAGGATTCTGTCACTCATATAGTCAATGGGCGCGGGGAAACTGGTATCGTGTTCATTCAAGACCTGAAACAACATTACAGTTACCTAACTTGAAGGAGAGGCATAGAGTCATACTGACTCCATTATGCCAGCTACTTCTTTATCATAAGCAAGTAAAACCTGGTGAAAGAACCCCATGTTTCAAAGTCATACTGACTCCATTATCAAGGCTATAAGATTAAATTAATCTGCAAGTTGTTCACTAAGTAGCTAACTAACTTTAAATAACAAAGAAGCGTAGTTAAAGGAATACTTTGGCACAGATGGAGTCAGATTGAGCGTTGAGTGTTGGTAATACTGTAGTTCTCTGTTGAAAAGCATCTTGTGCTATGAATGGCAAGTAAATGGGTAGTGTACTCCCCTTTGTTACCAAATTAATTAAATATAAACAGATAGAAATACTGCTAATTATCTCTAATAATGACAAATACTTACAGATATACTAACAGTTTCTGCTCCATGGGAGATATCAGGTAAGAGGATATTCTACAGTCAACAATAAAACACTTAGTAACAAGCCAATAATTAATAATAATAATTAATAATAAACGGACATTAATGTGAGACTGGTGAATGTTTAGAGTTTAGTAGATGACATCCTGACCCCTTTAAAAAAATCCCAAAGATATATAATATATATATAGTATAATCTTCAACTCACTTTTGTATTGATTGGTTTATCTGTGCAGGAAATATCAGGATCAAAGCAGAACTGGTCAATAGTGACGTTACTGGTGCCTGTTAGCGTCACTATAAAAAAACAAGATATTAGCCCATTAGAATATCTCATTATGTGGCAGGAGATACATGTATATGTTACTTACAGGCCAGGAAGTCCAGATGTGAAGGGATAAACTGTACTCAAGGTCTTGAATATATTGACTGAGGCAGTTATTAGGGGGACAGCAAATGACTAATATTCATTTATCTTACTTTAATATTATTGTCCACTTATTTAGCAATCCCTTATCCCATGCCCATGTTCATATGATGGACTGCGCGCAGATACTGAGTAAATATAGCCCTCTCAAACAGCCAATCAGAACTCATATTATTAGCATAGTATACAAGCTAAACTCCTGGTATACTTACAGTATCTTCCAACATCAGCAATAGATCTCTGAGCAAAACAAAACAAATATTACTATTAGAAACACTAGTAGTGATGACGTGATGTGTGAGTTAGATCTATTACAGTACATATCTTACCAGTCTTTTGTTACAGTGTGCACAGTAATACTATTAGAAACACTAGTAGTGATGACGTGATGTGTGAGTTAGATCTATTACAGTACATATCTTACCAGTCTTTTGTTACAGTGTGCACGGTAATACTATTAGAAACACTAGTAGTGATGACGTGATGTGTGAGTTAGTCTATTACAGTACATATCTTACCAGTCTTTTGTTACAGTGTGCACGGTAATACTATTAGAAACACTAGTAGCGATGACGTGATGTGTGAGTTAGATCTATTACAGTACATATCTTACCAGTCTTTTGTTACAGGCTGCACGGTAATAAATTTCTTTCTTGCTTCTTGGATGACGTTTAGTTATTTCTCTAAGATACAATGATAACAAACATTGCCTTATTAAAGCACTGCTCACACAAGCTAGCTGTCCTCTCCAAAGCTTGTGCCATGCGTTATAAGCTTAATATGCTATATTGCAATGATATCATGCTGCTGTTGGAATGCATGCACTGTTTTGTCAAGAGACCTTCTATGCTTTGCAGCTTTCCCCATTTCAGCCA